AAAAAAAAAAAAAAAAAACCCCTACAACAGTTCTTTGTTCTGTCATTTTTTTATCTCTTCAAATCCAATGATTTTCTTCCATTCCATTAGAGCAATCATACATAATGGCATTCTTTGGGGATGATTTTTGTTGGAATTTTGTCCTCTTTAATAGTGTGAACTCTTGAAATTCTGAGCATAATGTATTGGGTGCTGCATGCTCACACATGTACACATACACACAACACACACACACATGGGTAGAGGTGGGTGGAAAGAGAGCTACACACAGTTATTTTAAGTTATTTTAAACTTACTGCTTATGCTTTAAGAAAAGTACATTAATTATTCACCCTGCATTCTCTGGGCTGTTGCCACCTCAATCCTGTTCTTTCTTCTTTAATCTTTACGCTCCACCTTTTTGGTAGCTTCTTTCCTTTATCTATACTTTCAAATTTTCCTAGCTCAAGAGCAGAGAAAACCAAAACATACTCTTTCAAACTTCAAGCTTTATTTTCAAGTTATATTTCCTTCTTATTCCTAACTTTTATCACCTGTCTTCTCAAGAGATCTGTATATACAAGAACTTAAAACATTATACAACAGCAAAAACTTTGTAGGGATAAATACCTGTTGTGAGAACAGCATCTTGCGAGTCTCTTTGATTTCATTCCTACTCCAATGACAGTCTCTATTCTGTAGCTACCAATAATCCCAAACTGCTGTCTCATACATAAATGATGATTCTCTCAAAGGCAAATCCATTCTGAATCACAAGAGAGATTTTCATGGAGTTTTCAAGCTGATGTTGAAACCTAAAGAGCAAAAAGTCAGGAAAGTTCAGGACATTTGTAAAAGAGAAAACTGCTCTAACAGATGACAAAATTTTAGTAAAGTTACAGCAGTGAAGACACCATGGTATTTTCAGAAAAATAGATACATAAATCCACAGAATACAAAGAGTTTTGCGGTGACATGTCTGAAACTGCACGTGCCCTGCTCACAGCAGTTTGTGCTGTTCCCTTGGTCTTTGCAGGGTGAGAGCACACTCCAGAAAGAGGAAAATCCCTGTTTCACAAGCATTAGATACGGGCTGACACTGTTATCATGGACCTCTGGTTAGAGTGAGGACTTCCAGATGCCTGGCAGTAAGTGGAGAGCACGCACAAGTCAAATTCACAGGAGTTTCAATGGGTTTGTAGGCTCAACTGGTCCTTATTTCCCCAGTTCCATAATGTATAATTGGAGTGTATAGTCAGGTATCAACTCTTACATTCATTTCCTGGTCTGTTAGAAAAAAGATCTGTTACAGGAGAGATGGACAAATGTAATCAGATGGCGAACTAATTGCAGCTGCTTTGCCAGAAATGGTATCTTTGCTGGAGCAAATATAACATAGCCTCTGGCTGCTATTAGACAATGCTTTCTTTTCCATCCCTTGAGTATGGAAACATGCAAGAGAATTCATTTCACATAGCAGGTCAGTATACATTAGCTGTTTTGAATCAAGATTTTTATGCCAACTCTCTTCTTTGTTAGAGTTTTGAGGAATCTTGATTGTTTTTACTTTCCTTGAAATATCATATTGGTCCTCTATTTTGCTAACATTATGCTATGTGGACTTGGCTAGCAGGAAGGAGCAATTACCCAAGATATCCTAGATACATACATATATACCAGAAGTCTTGAAACATTTAAAAATTTTTTAGATATCCACTGATCTGGGACATGCCAGAAAATTCTCTTCTAAGAATATGGTTTTGCATCACTGACCTTCATTAAGAGAGAGGAATGGTATTTGATTGGGCCTACTTTACTTTATTTTTTATGCATTTAAAAAATTATTATTATTATTTATTATTTATATTTTTAAAATTTCAGTTTATGCCATACTTGGGAGAATAGCCTCCAATTCATTTATCAGATTATAGGAAAATATTAAAATTTAATTATGGCTCAGATGAGAGATGACTCTGCAGCAATCCAGGCTATGGTACAATTTCTCCAGCTACTTGGCAGTGTAGTCCTGCAGATCTGGTGATGCTAGAGCTAGAGATGGAAAATATGTGGAGTCTTCAGCAAGCTCTGGTAGGAGAGTGGCAATTCAGACAGACCTCTAGGATTCTAGAGCTAATCTCCACTTCAAAAACAGCTCCTTGAAAATCAGTGGACCTTGATTGAGTTTCAAAGTCTGATCCCAGTGGTAAAAGTGGCAATGAAACTTTAGTTGCTTATCCTAAATAAAATAATATCAAACCCAGAGATTCAAAGGTGGGACAGGGTATCACCCATCTATGGTATGATGGAAATAATACATATGGCATTTGCAAATCAGAAACAAAAATCACAAGTAGACTGCATAAATACATGGCCCAGACTACCATGTCAGTTACTTCCATGGTTGTCAAGGAAAACTTTCACAATGGTCAGAGCTACAAGCAGTACACAATATACTTGTTCAATGGGTGTGGAGGGAAAGGTAACATGGTATATGAAAATACACAGAACTTTTTGATTTTCTATGTTCTAGGTCTGTGCTGTCCACTATGGTGACCAGTAGCTATTGAACATTTAAAATGTGAGTAGTGCAACTGAGGGACTGAATTTTTTATGGTAATTAATTTTAATTTAAATAATTTAAAATAAATAAATAAATTTAATTTTAATTAAATAGTCACATTGGACTGCTGTATTGAACAACCCAAGTCTAAATTACACATATTTTAGTACTACATAGCAAGTGATACAAGTTGCAGCCAAAGTCATTGATCAGATTATTCTAATAATGTCCAACTCTGATATGCCTTTGGCTAACAACATGGTACTTCTGTCTGAGCCATGTTTTGGCTACAACTCCTCCAGTGGTTTCTTCATTGGATTTATGGTCATTAATTACTGGGGATCCTGCCAGACACCTAAATTCACCTGCTGCCCTCACCTCAGCTTTGTTTTCCCCACTGTCCTCCTGGCCTCCCAGTGACCCTCTTATCATGAACAATGAAACTTACTGTATCGCCCAGATGCTGTTCACATGCCAGCAGCTGGTGCTTGCACCAGAGGACAAGATAGGGAAGGGCACTATGAGCTAGGACAGGGGATGAGGTGGGCTAGATTATCAGAGCCAGTACCTGGCTAAGACCAGAGTTCACTCTACACAAAAGCACGGACACCGTTAGGTTGAGTCCAGTTAGTATATGGGAAAAGGCACAGGTGGGAAAGAATAAAAGGGAGACAACAAAGGAAAAATTCAAAGCAAGAAAGTGGACTAGGAAGGACAAGAGCTCAGCCAGGGCCATCCCTGAGGCTCATTTGTCCCTGGCAAGCAGCGGATCAGGCAGGCAGAGGGAGGGGTGGCCGCTTCACACGAGGCTTCTCTGCCCAGGCACCAATCATGACGTGGGTCAGAAGCGGACTTAGGTGTCACTTGCTGGAGAGTGTGCGCTTCTGGATTTTAACCAAAGTCTCTGGGCCATATATACCTGCAGACCACCCCTTACCTAGAGATTTTTGTGTCCTCTAGGAATTATATTGTCCAATCAAACAGAGCTCCCCCAACCGACCTGAGGGCACATTAACACATTGGTGTGGGAATATATCCCATCCAATCATCTGTTTATGTCTTTGGCTGCTGGCTGCCTTCCCGGCTAATGTGTGAGCTGGAAGGGGCATGTGATACCTCTTGGGCAGTGAGGCATCTCTTCATGGGTTGAAAGAATTGCACTTCCTCAATTTAGCTGTGCCACCTACCCCACACCCACCAGCTTTTGAAATAAACAACAGGAGATTTCTGTGTGGCCACTTCCCTCAACCTCAGCTTTAGTGCCCAAAGGAAAACACTGCCTTGGGATCACAATGGGCACACTATATCTATTTGTTAATCGTTTCATTCACACTGCTTTTCAATACCATTGCTCTTACACTATTCTTAGTCAGCACAAAAATACCCCAATATTTTAACGACCTATAAATTTGCTAATTTGACATTCCCATGGAGGTGTGAGCCCTGAAGTCCTGTCATGGCTTTTCCCTCTATTACTTTCCCACTTTTGTCTTTGACACAATTTCTTTTCTTTCCCAGGGACTGGAAGTTGTTTTTAAGTCTTCTTGGTTTGCTTCTGTGTCAATCACATTCAAATGAGAATAATGATATTTGTCTCTCAGCTGGAGTTTGATCATTGAATGGTTAATATTTGAGTGACTTCTAGTTATTGTCCAGATTTTCCTAGGGAAGAAGCTAGTATGCAGAAAAGTGATTTGACTAATCTCCGTGAAGGTTGGCACTCTGCTCTCTGGAGCTGTGTGCGGATGACTGGTGGAGCCCCCAGACTGACCCGGGCCTTGCTGTGGCAGGATTCACCAGGAGACTGCGTTTCCCTTCAGAATCGGAATGGGGGTATCATCCTCAGGGAGCCCAGACGTCTCATGATCAGTAGCTGCAGAAAGGTGTTTTCTTTCTTTCTTCATCCATTCATATAAAATTTACAAAAGGGCTTTTAGGAGAATCACTGAAGCTGAACTCTGGCGTAAGAACTATTAGCATTGTTTAATGAGCTTTAGGCCCGGCATCCCAGGATCTGGTAATAAGCCTGGTCAGTGGTTAAGTCCATTCCATTCTGGAACTTTGTTTTACACTGTGTCAGGCCAGCGGGCTCCTTTCCCGTGACGTGATGACATGCTGTCCTGGACACAGCTTCTCAGTTCCCATGTTGTGCACTCTCAGGACTGTTTACACAGAGCCCTCCCCTCAGCCTTTCCATCTGTAAATGCTCAAAGTTCGCTCCAAGTGCAGTCTACAGAGTCTCTTGCTCCCCTCCAGTATGCTTGGCTAAATGCCCACTGGCCGTCTGCTTTCTTATTGTTCCCGCCAGTAATGGAGTTTCTTTCCTTGGCCTCCTGCAGTCGTCTCTGACCTGAGCATTCACGGGGCACAGCCCTTTCCCCGCCTGGGTTCCTGGCCTCCTCGGCCTTCTGCTCTGTGCTGGGTTTGCTGGAGATAGGAAGGGACACCCAGCAATTTAGCTTGTTTTGGTAGAGAAGCTAGTTCCAGACCAAGGGCACAGTGGACTCACCCTTTCCCCATTTGAGGGAGGCCTTGGCATTTAGCTACATAATTGCACATTCTTCTCACATTCATAGTCCAGCAGGCAATGTTACTACTCTAAGTCCAGGGAGTATTAACTCAGTGAGCAGATTGTATTTTGATTCTAAATTAAAGATGGAATGTGTTTGTGATAACTTCATGGATTATTTGACTCTACTTATAGTCCTTCAGTAAGATACCTGAAAACAAAGTAACTCTGGTGGCCTAATATTTTGAGATATTAACCTACACTCCCTCTCTCCGTATGTTTTCTTCTCTCTTTTCTTTTTAAGTGGGAGTTTTTGAATCTTCTCCCATCATCCCAAGAGAGGTCTATGGAGGGGTCACAGCCCATGCTGCTTGAGAAAAAGGAATTTCCTGGTTTGGGTGTTTAAAAGGATAAAACCAGAACGCTAAAAATGAGTTTGTTGGCCAGAGTAAAATGGTTTTCAAAAAAATGCAGAGAGAAGGCTCTTTCACAGACTACCAAGAGATGACCACCAGCCGGGGAGAGCAAAGCAGGAAACTCCGTCCAGTCTACTAGGCGAGCCTGGGTGGCAGAGGGGGTGCCTGCCTGGTGCAGCTGGCACAGATCTCAAGCACCTGCTATGACACAGGAAGGTTAAATAATGCTTGCAAAGGGTCTGGTGTAAAAAGTAAAATAAAATCTTGCAAATTTTATAAAAATGTCAACTGGCACCCTGCCTTAAGGTTGGAGAAGTAAGTGAGGTTGGCAAAAGAGTTGAAAGTGCAGCACCTTCTCAGCTCCTGTGATTGTTGCCACGTGGAAAGGTGGCCCATTATTGCTAGATTTTATGATTTTTCCAGAAAAGCCAGAAATTTCAATTTTGTTGGTGAACTCTCCTGACTTTTAAAAGTTGGCTAAATGTTTCTAAAACATAGCATAGGCCAAACAAAATACATCTGTAGGCCAGATGTAGCCTTCATGCTACCGACTTGCAAT